TAGGTTGTTTCTACTTTTTTTAATGATAGTACATGGTTTACCTCTTCAGAAATGAAGAAAGTTCAGAATAATTATACTACATATATCAACTGATAGATGCCACTTGTGTCTGTTTATACAATGTCACAGTTTCCTTGTGTTCCATGGATCTCAGTGCTACATTTTATCATTTGGTACTATTTATTACTAATAGCAGATAAGGCTGAGGTGACCTTTTATTACCCATTAAATTTGTAGTAGTAGTAATAATAATAATTGTTACTGGGAAAGCTTACCTCTTTAGTCCTTACCCTTTGCACTGATTTTGACCTCAATAGTCAGTTATTAACTTTTAAAGACTGAGATACACAGTATGGAAAATGTGCTAAAGAAAAAATACTAATGTATTTCAAATATTAATATTGTGATAGATGGCAACATAATTTTCTCCCTGTAATTTACTCTTTAGAAGCGTAAAAGATGTGTTGTTTTCAATCAAGGTGAATTGGATGCTATGGAATATCATATGAAGGTAAGGTGTAAAATGTTCATTGATCACATTGTAAGATTAATGTGAATTAGTATAAATAAATAGACAATGTAAATAAGTATGTTCTTAAAAATCAAACAGTCATTTTGAACAAGCTTAGAATTTAATTGTGGAGAAATTTATTTTATAGTAATGAACAGTTTAAACCACTTTTTATTAAAACTTTTTATACTCTTATTTTATATATTTAACATAAGTAAACTTATGCTATATTGGTTAAGTGAAATTTTATAAGTTATAAAAACCTATTGTCATTAGGTAAAAAGACTTATTAAGGTAGTGGCAGAAGGAAGCATGAATAATGTGAAGGATATATTTCTAGAACTTAGAGATAAATGAGACCCAGGAGTTAAAGAAATGAGAGGAAACAGAGGGTACACAAATATTTTAAAATTAACTCTCTAAGGAACATCTTTGATTGAAATGGGAAACTTGGGTTTGGAATTTAGCTTAGGAGGATCATAAGTACAATTTTGGACGTGTTGAATTAATGTGATGATAGGACATTAGATCTTTTGTCCTCTCTTTTTTGTGGTAAAATATATATATATAACAAAATCTTCCATTTTAACCATTTTTAGGTGTATAATTCAGTGGCATTAAGTACGTTCACAGTGTCATGCCATCATCACTACTATCCATTTCTAAAATTTTTTCATCATTCTAAATAGACTCTGTATTTGTTAAACAATAACTCCCCATCCCCCTTTCTCCTAGCCCTGGTAACCTCTATTCTATGAATTCTGTTTCTATGAATTTGCCTATTCTAGTGGAACCATACAATACTTATCTTTTTGTATCTGATTTATTTCACTTAATGTAATGTCTACAAGTTTCATCTATGTTGCAGCATGTATCAGAATTTCCTTTTTAACGTTGAATAATATTTTATTGTATATACGAGGTGTGATCAAAACATATGGTGAATGTTTAAATTAAAAAAAAATTATTACAGTAAAAGACATATTGCCATTAATCCCCCTTAAAATACTCCCCCTTGTTTCAAACACATCCCATCGTTTGTGCCACTTCCTGAAGCAGTTCTGAAAGTCCTGTTTCGTGAGTGTCTTTAGTTGTGCTGTTATGGCTGCCTCCATGTCTTGAATCATTTTGACTTTGGGGAAGAGCCAAAAGTCCCATGGTGCCAGATTTGGTGAATAAGGTGGATGAAGACACACCGTAATGTTTTTATTTGACAGAAATTACCATATACCAGAAGCGATGTGTGAAACAGAGTGTTGTCATGATGGAGGATGATTTTACAGCACACTTTATTATTTTTTTTAATTAATTAGTTTTTTTATTGGGGAACTGTGTGTTTTTCCAGAATCCATCAGCTCCAAGTCAAGTAGTTGTTTCAATCTAATTGTGGAGGGCACAGCTCAGTGGCCCATGTGAGGATCGAACCAGCAACCTTGGTGTTATGAGCACTGCGCTCTAACCAACTGAACTAACTGGCCACTCTATAGTACACTTTAAAACACACCTTCTCTCAACTGTAGCTCATACCCCACTGACTGCACTGAACAAGTTGAAAGTTGTCACACACCGTTACTAATGTTCGATGCGCCACTTCACATATTTGAAGATCCCTGCCTTTCCATTGGATGGCACTTGGCAGCAGCATTGACTGTATTTTATGATCACAACGGGAAGGCTCTGTGTCACACATCACTCTGGTACTGCAATTTCTGTCAAATAAAAACATTATGGTGTGTCCTCATCCACTTTATTCGCTGGATGTGGCACCGTGCATTCCATAGGTTTTGATATGTTGTGTTTTAATTATCATGGTATGAAATTTCATTGAAAATCATAGATTTCTAGAGATTTGCTTAAATGTGTTTGTAATAGAGTTTTGAATTTCCATGTTGGAGTGGTATTGCTGGTAAATGTTTGTCTAACTATATAAAAATGTCAAATTGCTTTCCAAAGTGGCTGTACTATTTTGCATTTCCTATCAGCAATGTGTGAGTTCATTTGCTTTATATCCTTTATATCCTCTCTAGCATTGATATCATCAGGTTTTTGATTTTAGGAATACTAATAAGTGTGTAGTGAGTGGTATCTTATTGAGGTTTAGTTTGCATTTCTCTAGTGACTAGTAATGTTGAGAATCTTCATTTGCTATTTGACAGCCGTATACATTCTTTGTTGAAGTTTGTATAGAATTTGTTTTTTCTTCTTTGAATATTTGATTTAATTAACCAGTGAAATTATCTAGGTGTGGAGTTTCTTTTTGAGGAAGGTTTTTAGTAACAAAATCAGGTTCTTTAATAGATAACAGGGATCTTCAAGTTTTCTGTTTCTGCTTATGTCAATTTTGGCAAGTTGTATTTTCCAAGAAATTTGTCCTTTCATCCAACTTATCAGATTTATCGGTGTGAAGTTACTCACAGTATTCTCTTATTATGCTTTTAATGTCTGTATACTCTTTGGTGATACGTGATAACCCTTTTCATTCCTGATATTGATGATTTGTATTATTTCTATTTATAGCTCAGGGCTTGTTGTTTTGTTGATCTGTTTTCAAAGAACCAGCTTCTTTTTTTGTCAGTTCTTTTATTGTGGCAAAATATACATAACATAAAATTTACCATTTTAACCATTTTTAGGTGTACAGTTCACTGTCACTAAGTACATTCACATTTTCTTGCAACCATCACCACTGTTCATCTCCGGAGCTATTTTGTCATTCCAAACTGAAATTCTACCTAGTAAGGAATAACACCCCACCTCTCCTTCCCTCTAAATGCCCCATTTTATTAATCTACTTGTATTCCTTTGTTCATGGATATTTGGGTTGTTTCTACTTCTTGGTTATTGTGAATAATGTGCTGCTATAAATATGAGTATATAAATACCAGTTTGAGTCCCTGCTTTTAGTTCTTTTGGGAATATACCCAGAAGTGGAATTGCTGGATTATGTGATAATTCTTTTTCTAATTATTTTAGGAACTGCCATATTGTCTTCCATGGTAGTTGTACTGTAAAGGGGAAAAACCACAAAACTCAGCTTTTCCCTTTCTATGTAGTAGAAAACACAGTTCTCCCCTACTGTGTTTTTCTTCCCTCTGAGTCTCCTTTACTACTCACAGGGAACACTTCACTTCTAACACTTCTGGTCACCAAATGTGTGGAGGTTTTCCCCATACCAAGCAATTCTCTGTGACACCAGCTGACACTGTCTACCTGGAGATAGCATCAAGCTCCATAAGTTAAGGGTTCAGTCCCACAAAACTGTCCCTCCCCTTTCAGATGCCAGTCATAAGTCCAGGTTGTCACCTGTGCTCCTGACCAACCTGCTATAGATTGGAATTTCCCATGACCCCCTCCTCAGGTTCAGTTAGTTTACTAGACCAGCTCACAGAACTCAGGGAAACACTTACAGTTACCAGTTTATTAAAGGATATTATAAAGGATGCAGATGAATAGCCAGATGAAAAGGTATATAGGGCAAGGTCTGAAAGGGTCCCAAGCACAGGCGCTTCTGACCCCGTGGAGTTATGGTGTCACCCTCCCTGTATGGACGTGTTCACCAACCTGGAGGCTCCCTGAACCATGTACTATTGGGATTTTATGGAGGCTTCCTCACGTAGGCATGAAAAGGGGCTCCATTTCCAGCCCGTTTCCCCTCTCTGGACAAGTTGTGGGGAGAGTGCTAAAAATTTCAAGCTTCAAATCATGGCTTGGTCTTTCTGGTGAAGAGTGCCCATCCAGGAGCCATCCAGGAGCCCACCTAGGATCACCAAATTGGAACAAAAGATAGATGCTCGTAATACTCTTATCACTTAAGAATTTAAAAAGGGTTTTAGGAACTCAGTGCCAGGAACGGAGGGCAGAGACCAATATATATATTTTGTTTTATCTCACATGTACTATTTTACATTCCCACGAGCAGTGCACAAGGGTTCCAACTTCTCCACATCCTCATCACTTGTTATTTTTTGTGTGTTTTTTTTCAAATACCCATCCTAATGGATATGAGTGGTATCTCATTGTGGTTTTGATTGGCATTTCCCTAATGATTTGTGATGTTGAGCATCCTTTTATGTGCTTTTGGCCATTTGTATATTCTTTGGAGAAATGTCTATTCGTGTCCTTTGCTCATTTTTTTTTTTAAAGTTTTTTTTTTTAATTGGGGAATTAGGGGATGGGAACAGTGCTGGGGAATTGGGGGAAGGGAAACACACAAGTTGCTGTCGTTTTTTGTTCTTCAGTCTAGTTGTGGAGGACGTTGCTTCACTGGCCCAAGTTGGCACCATCATTGCGCTCTTCCTGGGCGAGGCACATCAGTCGCCGGCTTCTGGACAGCCGCTCATTGTGGCTGCTGGCCGCTCACGCTGGCTGCTGGCTACACATGGTAGCCCATGGCAACCCACTGCCACAGGGGCTGCAGCCTATGCCGTCGCCGACGACTCATGGCAGCCCAGCTCCAGGTTGAGCTGTTGTTCAGCATCTTAGCTGTGGAGGGCAGTGTCACTGGCCCTCATGTGGGATCCGAACCGGGGCCCTCTGGTGTCCCAAGCCAGTTCTTAACCATCGCGCCACTCAGCTGGCCCTCGTTTGTTCATTTTTAAATTGGGTTTTTTTGTTTGTTTTTGAGTTTTATTTTTAAATATGTATATTCTGGATATCAATTTCTTATCAGATACATGACTTGATATCAAGTATATTTAAAAAACCAGTTTTTATCTCATTTAATTTCATTATTGTCTCTCTGCTTTCTATTTTGTTGATATCTGCTCTTCGTTATTTTCTTCCTTTTGGTTTCCTTTGCTCTATTTTTCCTAACTTCTTAAAGTGGAACGTTAGTTTGGTGAATTTAAAATTTTTTATTTTCTAATATAAGTACTTGAAGCTGTAGGTTTCCATCGAATCACTGCTTTAGTTGCATTTCACATATTTTGATAAATATTTTATATTTTCACTTTGATTCACTTCCAAATATTCTCTAATTTTTCTTGTGATTTCATTTTGACCTATATAAATTATTTAAAAATGGGCTATTTTATTCCCAGATATTTGAGGGTTATCTGAATATCTTCTTGTTATTGATTTCTAACTTAAATCTGTTGGGGTATAAGACAAATGTATACTGTTTATTTCAATCCTTTTAAATTTATTAAGCCTTGTTTTATGGTCCAGTGTATGAGCTATCTTTGTGAGTGTATCATGTGCTGTTTTTATATCACTTTGTATATTCTTTTTAAATACGTATTCTGTAGTTGTTGGATGCAGTGTTCTGTGAATGTCAGATCAAGTTGGATGAAAGTTGTTCAGAACTTCTGCCTTTAGTGATTCTTGGTTTAATTGGTTAATCAATTGGGGGGTAGATTTTTTTAGATGAGTTTAGAGTAGTGTGTAGTCTAAGTCTAATGTTCTCTTACTAACGCAAGATCTGTGATCTACCCAAAACCCTGTCAAGAACTGTGACAGGTCTGAACTTTGACCCTGTTTGGAAGCTAACAAGTTAACAAGTATAGACCTAAGATTTTATTAAAATAGATTGTATTGCTCCCTGCATAGCAGGAAGCATGTGCTTTATGTTTACAGACTTCCTTTGTACTCCAAGTCTCATGGGACAAGTCCCAAACATTCTCGTTGGATGTTGTGCATTCAGTAGATTGGATTCATAGCTAAAGAAACCCAAGCTTAGGGAACCCCAATCTTTTAAATGGGTTGCAAGCAGATTTCTCCAACCTTTTGCCCCAGAGGGAGCCTTTATTAACTTGGACAACAAATAGATCTGCCCTCTACCTTGAAGGGAGACACAGTCTCCAACTTCCATACTATAGAAATATCCTTGAAAATTTATTCTGGATCAAAAGCTGATGTTGCCTCTGCTCACACAGAGAGACTCACGAATTGTCTCCCAATTGCCCTGTGAATCATGAGATTTTCCAGACTGAGTATGGGAAACGTTCACTGTTCTTGGTCCTGTTGGAGCTCCAGGCACTGTTTCTTCTAGTCTTTTTCGGTGGTCTTTTTCCTGGCCTCACATAGTTCCCTTGCACACTCCAGCTGATCAGTACCTAGGGGAATTTCTACAGTGTGACCACCTGCAGATCTACAGAGTTCTCTCTCCGTGTAGCTCTTTCATCTCTGGTACTCTGTCCTATGCACCCTAACTGTCTTGGCTGCTCCATAGTCTCAGCTGTCTCTTCACCTCTGGATTTCTTTTAGGCTCTACCCAGATTCCTCCTTCCTGTGGCCTGGAAACTCTCCAGGCAGTTAGTGAGGGCTTACCTATGATTTCTTTCACTGCCCTTTGTGTCCTTAATGTCCAATGCCTTAAAAGCTGTTGTCCCTGTGACTCCATCTTGGTTGTAAGTGGAAGTCTCTGGCTGCTTTGAACATTTTATCACTGATTTTCAGCTGTTTGATTGCGATATTCGAATGTAGCCTTCTCCTTCTCTTTTTGCTGCTCGTCCTCTTCTCTTCCTCCTCTTCCTCGTCCTCCTTCTACTACTACTAGTCTCTGTTTTTTGAGCTTCTTGCATCTGAATTCCTAGTCTTCAGCAATTTTGGAATTTTTTAGCCATTACCTTCTCAAATATTTTTTCTCTCCACTTCATTTTGAACACTTTTGTTCCATTGTTTTCCAGTGCATTAGTATCTAATCTGTTAATCCGATCTAGTGTATTTTTCATTTCTGCATTGTAGTTTTCATCTCTAGATACTCAATTTAGTCTTTTTAGTTCCATGTAGCTTGTTGACATGCTTTTTTTTTTTTTTTACATTTTTGAACATATGAATATGGTTACAGTAAGTGCCTTAGGATCCATTTCTAATGTTTCTAAATGGGCTGCAAATAAACCTACCCAACTTTTCTTATTAATTGTATTTATCTGCGTCATTTCTGTGTTTCCGTTGAGTGATTTTTTTTTCCTTTATAATGTGTTGCATTTTTCTGCTTCTCTATATTCCTGGTAATTTTTTACTTTTTGTAAGACATTTTAATTTCAGCTTGTTAGGTATTGGATATTTTCATATTCCTATAAATAGTCTTGAGATTTGTCCTCGGACACAGTTACTTTGAAACTGGTTTATCCTTTGGAAATTTCCGTTAAGCGTTTTTACTGAGGACCAGAGTAGACATTAGTCTAGAGCTATTTTTTCCCCCATTATTTGAGTCAGTACTCTTCTGAGTCTGTCTGATGCCCTGTGAAATTACCTTTCCATTTTGGCCACTGGGAGAACTAACTGTTCCCAGCCCTGTGTGAGCTCTGGGGATTGTTCCCTCTGATCATTTTATTTGGTTCTTTTATTGGGTAGTTTCAGCACATGTATGTGTTGATCACTACTCAGCTGGAGACTTGACTTCAAGACCTTTCTTTCTGTGCAGTTCTCTCCTCTCTGGTATCCTACCCTGCAAGCTCTAGCTGTTTGGCCTTTCACATTCCCAGCTCTATCTCCTCAACTCAGAGAAACTGTTGGACTCTGAATGAGTCTCCTTTCCTGGATTGCTGCCTGGAAACTTTCTCAAGGCAGTAAGGTAGAGCAATCATTTGTTTCTCCTTTTTTTAGGGACCACTGTCCTGCATTGCTTGACATCCATCCAAGGTCTGAAACGCTTTAAAAAACATTTTTTTAAAAGTAATTTCAGATCAACGGTACTCTATCCAAAAGCAGAACTTGGCTTTCATTTTTATAATTATTATAGCAAAACTTTGTTTATATGTTCATTTTATAGTTACTTTTTTCTTAATTCAAGCTAATTTTATAAAATCAAANGTAAAAGTGAGCCCACTTCTTCTGTCCACCTTGATTCTCTTCACATGGATTCCATGTCCTCTTTTGGCTCCTCTGCTACATTTACTGCTTCTGACTCTACCATTAAGCTAAAGAATGATGATGGAAGAAATTGTGAAATGTTCATACAAAAATATGTTTTTCGATCGGAACTGTTTGATGTCACTAAACCTTATATAACTTCAGCTGTTCAGAAGGAATGCCAACAAAGTAATGAAAAGGAAGATCTAATGAATGGTGTTAAAAAAGAGATCTCCATTTCTACTCTTGGGAAGGTAGAAAGTTTTAAGAAATTTTTATATTTCTACAGAAAATACAAGAAAAATTTATTATTCCAATATCTCAAATGTCTTGTGATTTACTAAGTATAAAGAATAATCAGTAAAGCATAAGAAGGCTTTAGCACATCCAAGTAATTTTTAACTTTTTGCTAACGTTCTGTCGTTCTTAGGAGACCAAGTTTGTGTATATCAAAATTAAACAAAGTTGGTTCAGAAGTGAATGCTCTGTAAATTAAGCAAGCAAACAAAGAAAAAACTAAACAACAAAAAAACCCTTTCTGCTTAGGCATTTATACTGATTACATATTTTTACACCTGTTTTTTCTCAAAAACATGTTTCTTTCTCTGTAAAATACTAAAGCAGTATATGGATTTGGGGAGAGTTTTAGAGACCTGTCCTTTGGAGATAAGCTTATATAATAAAAGTTTGGAAGAAGGGTGATATTTTTTAAAGGTTTCTAGTGGTAAAAGTAGAAAGCTACAATGGAAAATGTGTATGCTCATATATATTTGCATACACACTGGTGCAATCTTTTAGTATAGTTTGAGAATGCCATATAGGATCAAATAAATTATGATTTAATACTTTTTACGTCTTTGAAGAGTTCAGAGGTGATTACACAGTCTATTTCAGGTAGATTATATTATCATTTTCTTTGTTAGTGATAGGAATAACATTCATTACCTGCCCAGTAAATATTTGCGATGTTTCTATGTGCTGTTGTATGTAGAGTGATGAAACAAGATAAATACAATCCCTGCCCTCTTGGATCTTATAAGGGTGGGGAAGAAAGATATTAAATAAGAAGCATGTTGAGAATTAGAATAAGGAAAGCAATAGAGATAATTTATTACATTGTTATAGGTACCTGAAATAGAAATTATAATATTGTGATATTTTTATTGTATGTATATTTTTCTCTTTCAACAAATATTTATTGATCATGTGCTATGTGTCAGGCACAGAAAAGAAAATGTATAGTATTTCAGTAAAATAGCATATAGATAGTTTATCATTGCTGTTACCAATTCAAACAAATAATAACAAGCAGTTGTAAAGGACTTTATAGTTTACCAAGTATGGACATTATCTTTTAATGTTTAAACTTTTATATTGGGTAAATTTCTCACTTTAATATGGAAAACTATAGGTTAGCATATGTAATGAATGTTATCTTAACAAAACTTACCTAATTTTTGATATGCTAAAGCAAATTATGCAATTAGCTTAACCTTAAGTCTATTTATTTATTCAGCCAACAAACATTTATTATTACCCTGCTAGGAATTTGAAACCATGTAAGCACTGAGGTTCCAGCAATAAAAAATACAGTGTCCTTACTGTACATGGCACTGTATTACATGTTCTTTGCTATGGAGTTGTTAGATATAGAACAGTGTTAATATATCTGATTTGTACCTAACCCTCAGATCAATCATAAACAGCTATTAAAAGTACATTGTCCACTTAGGTTGTTTCTACTTTTTTTAATGATAGTACATGGTTTACCTCTTCAGAAATGAAGAAAGTTCAGAATAATTATACTACATATATCAACTGATAGATGCCACTTGTGTCTGTTTATACAATGTCACAGTTTCCTTGTGTTCCATGGATCTCAGTGCTACATTTTATCATTTGGTACTATTTATTACTAATAGCAGATAAGGCTGAGGTGACCTTTTATTACCCATTAAATTTGTAGTAGTAGTAATAATAATAATTGTTACTGGGAAAGCTTACCTCTTTAGTCCGTACCCTTTGCACTGATTTTGACCTCAATAGTCAGTTATTAACTTTTAAAGACTGAGATACACAGTATGGAAAATGTGCTAAAGAAAAAATACTAATGTATTTCAAATATTAATATTGTGATAGATGGCAACATAATTTTCTCCCTGTAATTTACTCTTTAGAAGCGTAAAAGATGTGTTGTTTTCAATCAAGGTGAATTGGATGCTATGGAATATCATATGAAGGTAAGGTGTAAAATGTTCATTGATCACATTGTAAGATTAATGTGAATTAGTATAAATAAATAGACAATGTAAATAAGTATGTTCTTAAAAATCAAGCAGTCATTTTGAACAAGCTTAGAATTTAATTGTGGAGAAATTTATTTTATAGTAATGAACAGTTTAAACCACTTTTTATTAAAACTTTTTATACTCTTATTTTATATATTTAACATAAGTAAACTTATGCTATATTGGTTAAGTGAAATTTTATAAGTTATAAAAACCTATTGTCATTAGGTAAAAAGACTTATTAAGGTAGTGGCAGAAGGAAGCATGAATAATGTGAAGGATATATTTCTAGAACTTAGAGATAAATGAGACCCAGGAGTTAAAGAAATGAGAGGAAACAGAGGGTACACAAATATTTTAAAATTAACTCTCTAAGGAACATCTTTGATTGAAATGGGAAACTTGGGTTTGGAATTTAGCTTAGGAGGATCATAAGTACAATTTTGGACGTGTTGAATTAATGTGATGATAGGACATTAGATCTTTTGTCCTCTCTTTTTTGTGGTAAAATATATATATATAACAAAATCTTCCATTTTAACCATTTTTAGGTGTATAATTCAGTGGCATTAAGTACGTTCACAGTGTCATGCCATCATCACTACTATCCATTTCTAAAATTTTTTCATCATTCTAAATAGACTCTGTATTTGTTAAACAATAACTCCCCATCCCCCTTTCTCCTAGCCCTGGTAACCTCTATTCTATGAATTCTGTTTCTATGAATTTGCCTATTCTAGTGGAACCATACAATACTTATCTTTTTGTATCTGATTTATTTCACTTAATGTAATGTCTACAAGTTTCATCTATGTTGTAGCATGTATCAGAATTTCCTTTTTAACGTTGAATAATATTTTATTGTATATACGAGGTGTGATCAAAACATATGGTGAATGTTTAAATTAAAAAAAAATTATTACAGTAAAAGACANACCCAGAATCAGTTCTCCTTCCATCACCATATATTTGATCCCTTTGACCCTTATCGACCACCCCTTACCCTCTGGTAACCACTAAACTATTGTCTGTGTCTATGAATTTTTGTTTTTTCATTTGTCTTGTTCCTTTGTTGTTTTCAGTTTTATATCCCACATATCAGTAAAATCATATGGTTCTCTACTTTATCTGTCTGACTTATTTCACTTAGCATAATAATCTCAAGATCCATCCATGTCTCCATTGGCATTATTTCATCTCTTCTTATTGGCAGAATAGTATTCTGAATAGTATTTAGAATAGTATATATACCACATCTTCTTTATCCAATCATCTGTGGAAGGACACTTTGGTTGTTTCCATGTCTTGGCCACTGTAAATAAAGCTGCAATATATATAAGGAACTCATACAACTCAACAACAAAAAAACAAACAACCCAATAAAAAAATGGGCAGAGGACCTGAATAGACATTTCTCCAAAGAGTACATACAAATGGCCAATAGACATATGAAAAAATGCTCAACAACACTAATTATCAGAGAAATGCAAATAAAAATCACAATGCGGTAGCACCTCAAACCAGTGGCTATCATCAACAAATAAGACAAATAATAACAAGTGTTGGAGAGGCTGTGGAGAAAAAGGAACCTTCATGCGCTGTTGGTGGGAACACAGATTGGTGCAGCCACTATGGAAGGCAGTGTGGAGGCTCCTCAAAAAATTAAGAATAGAATAGAATTACCATATGACCCAGCAGTCCCTCTCCTGGGTATCTACCCCAAATATTTGAAGAAATTTATCTGTAAAGATATATGTGCTCCTATGTTCACTGCATTTTATACATTTTTAAGGATCTATTTTCTTATATATGTTGTTTGGTTGTTTAATTTTCGGTGAATTTATGAAGTTTGTTTCATTCCCCAAATAGGAAACAGTACTTCAAAGGTATACTCACACATTCCTATTTTTTCATCATAGTATAAAATTAATTTCTTGTAAGCCTAAAGAATGTTGATTTCAGGGCCGGCCGAGTGGCTCAGTTGGTTAAGAGCTCCCTCAAGAGTGTGAGCTCTGAGCAACAGCAGTTCGATTCCCGGCCCTAGCTGAGCAGCCGCTGAGCTACCAACAGGTGGCAGGATGGCTCATCTTAAAAAAAAAAAAAGTTGATTTCAATCTGTAAGTTCAAATATTCAAAGTTTAGTAGGAATTTCATTATTTAGAAAGTTGCTTTAAATGTCAGTGACTTTTAAAAAATAGTTCCAGGTGTACAACTTTTTAATGTATTAAAAAAATTCTCTTACAGATTAGGGAGCTGATTCTGGATGGATCTTCACAGTTAATCCAAGAAGGTTTTAAAAGTGGCTTTTTTCATCCACTTTCTGAAAAACGGAACAAGTGTAGTGAGCCCATTACTTTACCACTTGATACCTGCAATTTGTCAGAATTATGTGAAATGGCAAAGCATTTGCCTTCCCTGAATGAAATGGAACTTTTGACGTTACAATTGATGGAAGATGATGTGTCTGTTACAGAGCAGGATTTATTTTCACGGGTTGTTGAAAACAACTCTAGCTTTACAAAAATGATTACTTTAATGGGACAGAAATACCTGCTGCCACCAAAAAGCAGTTTTCTTTTGTCTGACATTTCTTGTATGCACCCACTTCTAAATTGTAAGTAATTATGTTTATTATTAGAAAAAGATAAATTTTCTGCAGCTTCAAAAGTCAAGAGCTAGTCTGAATGTTGCATGAGGGCTAACATTTTATGGGGATAGGGTAAACAATTTTCTCAGTGTAATTTTGCTTTAAAATTCAATTATAGAGTACAGACTTCTGCTTTTAAAAAAAATTTTAAATTCTTCTTATGAACAAAGGGTCAAAAACTAGCCCCCAAGAGAGCAAATACAGTTACTGCTTTGTACTTAGGAATTCAGGATACAATTGGGTTTGACCAAATAACTACTTAACTTTCCTTCATAGCAAAGTAGAAACACTTCAGATACGAATATTAATTCCCAAGCCATTCCTAGCCTTTTAGGTTACATTTTAAGCTAATGTTCAAGTTCATTGTCTAAAATTTCTTGAAATATTTTCGTGTTATAAAGTTAAGAAACTTAAATATTGAATTCCAGAGTCACACATACCTGAATTTGAATTTAGATTCAGAAACTTAACTGTGAGTCTCTGGGCACTTCACAAAATCGAGCCTCATTCCTAATCCATAAAATGAACATAATACCTACTTTTGAGGGTCGTTTAGAGAATTAAATGAGATAATCTGCATCAGGAGTTTAGCTCAGTGATTATAATATTACAAGGGATGAGGTAGATAAGAGGCATTGATCAAATTGAATTTAATCTGCTGTTTATTGTTATTTGGACATTTTCTATCAAAATTTGAAGTTACTAAAGTAACATCTTATTAATAGAAAGCTTAAATCTTTTAATTGTTATCAAGCCATCTTACACATGAGTGGGTTGTTCATGTCACAGTACCGTAAATTCTTCAGGGTAAATGACAGGATAATAAATTAATGAGAAAATCATGCTGTCTTTGAACATTTTTTTCATTCTTTTGATTACTTATGAGATTGTACATTTAGGAAAATATACCTTTGTTTATAAAAGGAGAAAGGACAGGCCTTTCTGACAATAAAATTCTAATTAATATATGGGTGGAATGATGGAACTAGGAAATTTCCATTTGTCAAACACTATAGTAGTTGAATGTCAAAATAGTGGGTGAAAAGATGAGACACAGGACATTTGCACAGTCTTAAAATATCTCCCCCAACAATATACTTATTAATTATAAAGGGAAAACCAGAGAAACTTTGTAGACACCACTTTATCCAAGTGATCAAAGGTAATGTCACCAATAATGAGACATTTTGACACACTGTGTTTCGTGATTTGTTGTTCTGATAAGGACACAGCATTACTTCAGTGGTGCTCTGAAATAAATAACCTAAATTTAATCATGAGGAAATATCAAACCCAAACCGGGGGACATTCTATAAAATAACTGGCCAGTAGCCTTCAAAAGTGTCAAAGTCATAAAAGACAAAGACTGAAGAACTTTCCCAGATTGGAGATTTAGGAGGCATGGCAACTAAATGTGATGTGTGATCCTGATTTGGATCCTGAATCAAAAAAAAGGACACTAGTAAACAACTGCAGAGGTTAGGTTTTGTTATGGCAAATTTATCAATTATAAGACTGAAACTTATTGCATATAAAATGTTTTTTTAAATAAGAAAAAATAACCCCAAAACCCCGAGGTTTGAAAGGACTGTATTAATATTGCTGCAAAGACTTATAGGGCTTTTTACAAATCACTGGTGTCCAGCTAAGTGAGCTGTAGTTATTTTCAGGTAGTCTCTGTAAAAATAGTAGTAGGGGAGATCATGTTAAAATCCCAGTGGTATTAATTTATAAGGGAAATCTCTTTTAATTTTTTAGATAAATTTGTTTGGATAAATGCTACAAATCCTTTGTCTATTCCATTATATGTATGTAGTGAATGCACTTCAGTTTTTGAAGAACCTGTTTATTTTTTAAAGTGATCACATACAGAAGTTAGTTTCTGAAATTGTGTTTTTTTTTTCAGGTGGGAAAACATATGATGTAATAGTGATAGATCCACCATGGCAGAACAAATCAGTTAAAAGAAGTAAGAGGTAAGTATAAGTAAATTATCTATTAGATATGCTTTCTAAAAGCTATTGTCCTTTGTACATTCTAGTTACATATGCTAAAAACATTACTTTATGATATGGGTTGTCTGAAACTACTAAAACACTTTAGTTTTAAATTTTTAGTTCTTTTAACTAGCTTATTCTCTTGAACTAGAACCATATGTAGGTTTGAGAACATTAAAAGTAATATATTTATTAATGGCTAAGGTTACAGATTAAATTATATAGTTCAGGGATATTTCTGTAGCAGTAAAAGGCAACATTTTTGCCTTCTTTGATACCAGATTCTAAAGTTTAGAAATATGTGCCAAAACATAATTTTCCTTAATAATCTGACCTTTGCTCTCAGCTTCTGGAAGGTAACCTGTGTCATACCTGGTAGGATTGTCCTTGTTTAATGCATGTATGTATGTGAATGTGTGTGTGTGTGGCACTGGGTGGGTGGCAACTAGCATCATTTGTTTAAAAGATGATTTGTTCTCCATCACGTCTCATCATTATAGTTCACTATTAAGTTCAAAAGAATCAAAGAGGCCAATTCTGTGATAGACCTTGGTAATGTGTTCCAGTTTTCTCCAAGAATTATTTAAAAATAAATATCTAGCTTAAATTTCACTTGCTTTTTATTTTAATGAAAATTGATAGTGTTTTACATCTTATTCTGAGTATTCTATAGAAGTTTTAAAAAAAGTAAACAAGTGCTTGATCTTTTTAGCAGCATTTTTGGCACAGATTTTTATAATTCTGAGTAATAAACTCCTTCATTTAAAGTATTTTATGATAGTTTTACACAACACATTTTGAAAGTTTTGGTTTTCTTTCCCATTTATCTTGTAGGTATATATTTATGATCTCCTCATTGTAATGATTTACTGTATTGCTTCTTTCGTTTAACTTTTGACTTTAAAAAAATTCAGCCTTTGAGAAAAGTTGAAAGAATAGTACATGAATATCAAATTACCTTTCCCCTGGATTCACCACACATTTTTATGTACATTTTCTCTCATCTCTCTGCTTTTTTATCTGATGTTACAGACATAATAATTTTACCCACAAATTCTTTAGCATGCATCTCCTGAAAACAAGGACATTCTATATAGCTACAATACTGTTACCACCCACCAAGAAAGTTAATATTGGCAATAATCTCAAATATGCATTACATATTTAGATTTTCCCAATTATCCTCAAGCTATTCTTTATGGCTGTATTTTTGTGTTTATTGTTTAGATCCAAGATCTAATAAAGGATCGCTATTAATTGGGTTTTTATTTTTCTTCAGTTCCTTTAATGTAGTCATTTTTTATCTTTAGGACATTGACTCTTTTTTAAGAGTTCATGTCCCTTATTTGTAGATACCCCACAATTTGGATTTGTCTGATTATTTCTTCATGATTAGATTCAGGTTAAACATTTTTGGGAGGAATACTACATAAGTGATGTTGTATCCTTTCCATTGCAACACTTAAAGATGCATATTTTGAAATTTGCTCAGTGATTTCCAGATTAGAAGTAGAAAATAAAGTTTGACTATTTCATCCTTCCCCTCCAAAATCAACCAAATTAAATAAAATTAAGATAATCAAGAAATATGCAGTTAAAAAACTTTCAATTTTTAAAAATATTTTTAAACATTTTTTATTTCTTTGAGTAGCAGTTAGACAAAATCATTTCCCATTGTTTTTTAAGCACTTGTATTTCCTCTTTTCTCTATTGCCTTCTAATGCCGTTTGCCCATTTTGAAACATAGGTATCCTTTTTTTTTTACATTTAAAAAAATTTCAATTACAGACATTCAATATTATTTTATATTAGTTTCAGATATAGAGCATAGTGGTTAGACATTTATATAATTTACAAAATGATGCCCCCCATTAGCCTAGTACCAACTTGGTACTATACATAGTTATTACAATATTATTGACTATACGCGTATTTCCTATGCTATACTTGACACCCTCTTGACTGTTTTGTAACTACCAATTTGTACTTCTTAATTCTTCACCTTTTTCACCCAGCCCCCCAGCCGGCAACGCAAACTTTAAATTTTTGACCTGATGTTCTTCATCCCGTGGCAAACTTAGTCTTTTGAAATCATCACTTTGATTATAAAAAATGCTAGTCTACTGGAAGAGCCCTGGTCTAGATGACAGGAAACTTGGGTGCATGAGATCGGAATTGTTTTACTCATTTCTTTATTTAAGAAATATTGATTGATCACTTCCTGACATACAGTTTGCCATGTGTTAGAACTAGATTCAAATGTTTATTGTATTTGGCCATTTGGATGTTACTTACTTTTTCCAGAGCAGGTATAGTAATATTAGCCTCATTGTAGTAAATTGTGCAATAAAGGAAAGTAGAAAGACTAAATGCATACAAGTCCTTCGCTGTAGAGAGAAGGAGACCAAATTGAAGAGAATTTGTCTCTTCTTTTCTTTTCTCCTCCCCCTGCCTTTTCTCTCCTCTTTCTTCCTTTCAAATTGGATAGTATAAGTGTGTTTACAGGTTGATGGTAAGGAACTACTAGAGTGATTGAAAATACAGGAGGGCAGGAATAGCATTACAAGATACTAGAAGATGGGGATAAGAGAACACACCTGGAGGTATAGGCTTTAAATAGGTGAAGCCATGCCATTTCCTTTAAGAGGAAATGTGTAGAAATAGATAAGTGAATGTGTTATAAGGAGGGAGGGGAAGGTTAGGTATTTGAAGGAGTCTGGCGGCATTTCTGCCAAGAGTGAGTTTGGGCAAGGGACTTGAAAAGAAATCGGAGTTTGTAGTAGTTGACCCACGATAGATAGGTAAAAGAATTGAGTAGTTTTTAAGAGCATGAGAATGGGTTTAATTGACCCAATTCTTCAGTTCTGCATTTTTTTCCACTTGATTTTCCGCATATGAAGAAATTAAATTGAATTTAAGATTGAAGGTTTGTAGTTGCTGTGGGGAGAAGGATAAAGGTGCTAGTGAGAAGGCAATGAAGTGATTGGTGATTGGTAGTCTATAGGGAAGAGGAACAGGTGTGGGTAGGAGAAAACTCATAGAGACTCAGTAAAATGGAGGAATGGGGCACTGACTGGATGCTTTGATAAAGTCAAAGAATATGTGAGGGATAAGAGGTTATGGCTAGAAATCAATGCTCATGGTTTCAGAGATGGAGCAAGTATGAAAGATGACAAGGCCTAGGTCATTGGAATGGATTATTGAAGCGGGGTGAATGCAATTGTATTTATTTAAGGGAAGAATAGTTGAAGTGTGCACATTATATAGATTGTGCGATCAAAATGCCCAACATAATGGCAAGATTTGTGTTGTTGAGGTAAAAGAATCTTAGAGCTTAAGTTCAGTGAATATGTAGAATGAGGATGAAATGGGTTCACTAAGAAACATTAGAGGCTAGCCTAGCTTGATAGCATACCTCTCAGAGAGAAGACAATTTTGTGCAAAGGTGGATGAGTTATATCCTGAAAGCAGCAATAGGGGAGCTAGGAGAATGCTGACCTCTCCTCTCCCTGTTGTGTACTGGGTGTTGGAGAAAGGGCCACATTCATTTGACTGGGTATTGTAGAGCAAGTAGTGTTCTAGCAAGAGAAAGTAGACTTCATACTATATATTAATGGCCAGGAGGTGCAAGAATCTTAAGTTATTTTATTTTATTGTAATGCAAGCATGAGGATTTCAGAGAGCCCAGTGGAATTGTTTGGGAAAGAAAAGAGAAACAGGATGATAGATCAAGGGTTGAAAATATAGTGGAATATTGAGACAGTAGTGTCAAGACTCGCTGTGATGGGGTCCCTGTGTGATGTATAGATTATGGAAACCAAACAATGTTTGCTTAATTTTGAATGAGAAAAAAGCATTGTAAGTATTAGTAAAATTACTGAAATGTAATGCATTTAGAAGTGATAAACAGTTTTAAACTACTAAAAATGAAAAATGAAGTTATTTCTGACTTGCATGTAACAATATGTCCACCGGGTGTCACTGTAGCTTCATATTTAGTTATATAAATAGATAATCTATAGGCGCTTTGTTTGTGGAGTCAGTGTTATATAGGTCTGCACCATGCTCATTTTTCTTTTTGCAGCAAATTTTGCTCATAATATTTTTGTTTATTTTTAGGTACAGTTATTTATCACCATTACAAATACAGCAAATACCTATCCCTAAACTGGCTGCTCCAGACTGTCTTGTTATTACTTGGGTGACCAATAGACAGAAGTACCTACGTTTTGTAAAGGAAGAACTTTATCCTTCGTGGTCTGTGGAGTTGGTTGCTGAATGGCACTGGGTAAAAGTAAGTTCATGAGTTAACTTAATTGTTAATACAGCGTGACATATAAGTCACATAAAGGTAGCATCTACTTTTTAATGCTTAACATGTCACTGCTCTAGTCCTTCAACATGGTCTAATTAAAACTTTTACTTTGCTGCTAAATATTTTTATCTTCTTATTCTCAAGGCTTTTTACCTGTTTGTTCTGGGTCTTTTTTGTAGTAGAGTCCCAAACTGCTGGCCTTAGTAAATAACTCAGGGAGATATCAGGATGACATTTTTAAGAGCTCTGATGTCTGTAGTTTAAAAAACAACAAACAAAAACTTTGGGGAATCTGTCCATCACTAAACGTAAAACTAGTCTTACCCTTCATCATCTTACACTTTACACATCTACAGTTTCAGTAACCCTTTGTGATTTTCTTTCCTCCTTCCCTCTTTTCCTCCCTCCCTTCCTCCCATCCTGCCTTCCTTTTTCTTACGTTGCTGGGGATGGGAGGGAGAATAGCAAAGTAACCCAGTGTGAAACAGGTGTGAAGATGCTAGAACCAAGAACCTTTCATACTTTAAATCTTAACTTAGGTCCTTCAGTGCCTTATGTGCTGCTGTGCCTATTTTTGAAAGAAATGATTCTCTCAAATTGGTTGAACGATCTTTAATATATTCTCTTTTTGTAATAATACCAAGGAATACAGAAAAATAAGGCACAAGTCAGAGTTCACTGGACATCCTTTTAAAGATACATTTTCTACCTATGTGAATTCCACAAAACCCTTGTAAATTTTAAAAAGATAAGCCAGGTTATGATCAATTGAATGTTTAATGTTTATATAGCAGGTATATTCGTATTAGACACAGGAGAATTCTACTTTTATGTGCTTTGTTTGTACTTTGTAGTCTTCTGGATTATCTTGTGAAAGCTGTGTGCATTGTTTATTTGCACCTATTTTATGGGACTTGGCAAACAGACATTTATAGTGGTAGCTTTGCTTTTGTGATGTACTTTTGCTTAGCTTTGGCTGATTTGGTATAAGACCATGACAAGAATATAAAACTCCATTACATCCTCTTCATTATGACAGTTCTTTTATAGTCAGAGACTGGGCCAAAGTCAGGAAAAGGTTATTTTCTGAAATCAAAACCAGTAAAATGTTAATACTTAAAAATTAAGACTATGCATTTGTAGTAGTAATCAGTTTTAAGAGATGGTATGATAAAATCAGAGTTTAAAACAAAAATGCAATGTATTATATGAAACACTATTAGGTAGTTAGTTACACATATGGTTATAATAGAGGGAGTAATCTGCATTGAGTATAAAGAATATCTAAAGAATAAATATTTACAGTGTTTATACAGTATTGTATAGAAGAGATGTCTCTCATGGGCCCTAGGGTTGATAAAACGACTTTACTGATTTGGTTTTTTAGGTACTTTAATATGTGGTAAAGGGTTCTATAGATAGAAGATATGAATATTCTGATAATGGAAATATATATCTCTGTGGTTAATTAATGAATTGATAGTGTTATTATAAATTGTGTTTTGAATTTGATGAGCTTATGTGAGTCTTTGAGAGTCTTATCAGTCCAGGGTGAAATGATAAAATTGGATTTCTGGATTTATAATGCCAAGAGATTGGACTAACTGTTGTCTATCTTATCAATCCCTGAGCTTCTTTCATTTATTAATTTTAGCTCTGACTGTATTTAATGACACCATTTCCTGTAAATAAAGGAAAATATTATAATCTACTTAGTCACATTGACAGTAACCATTAAATGTTATTTGAATGAATGAATAAATGAGTTAATGATGGCATGGCTTCCAGGAATAAATGTTAATGAAAAGTAGAGATGTTTGTGTGCAAGATGATAAAGTGATATTTGAAGTATTTTTTAGTCCCTTTTAGCTGCTCTGTCCAATAAGGTAGTTACTGTCTGGCTAGTCCAAATTGAGATGTGGTATTAAGTATAAAATATACATTGGATTTCAGAGACTTAGTCTGAAAGAAATAACCTATCTCAATAACTTTTTTGAATTGATTACATATTGTAATGATATTTTGGATATGTTAGATTAAAGATGTAATTAAAATTAAATTTACCACATTCTCTTTACTTTTCCTAAATGTTTCTACTAGAAAATTAATTACATAGATGACTTGCATTTGTGGCTCACATTATATTTTTATTGGACAGCACTAGTCTAGAGGTTTAATAATTTCTTTTCCTTTGGTGGAAACTGTAGAGTGATAGGGGGGAAAAAAACCCTTTCCTGGATATTTACAGATACTTGGTTTTTTGTTTTTGTGTTTTTGCCTCCTTCCTATCAGATCACCACTTCAGGAGAGTTTGTGCTCCCATTAGATTCTCCACACAAAAAGCCTTATGAAGGTCTTGTCCTGGGGAGAGTTCGAGACAAAACTGCTTTACCATTAAGGTAGGAAACGTGATTTTTCAAAATTGTATAAATATATTAACTTTTAAGCTTTTAAGAATTATTAACCCAATGATCATTGATTTTTTTTCTAATTTTGACACTTCTGAAATTCTGCAAATATCCCATACTAGTAAAGTGTGAATGGTATGGCACATGAAAGTTTATATTATCTCTTGTTTTATCTAGTGTGTAATGTCATTACTGTAGAAAAGGAAATTATTGGAAATGTGTCAATACTTAAATTGTTGATTTCCATTATTGTTTCTATCAAACATTTTAAATTCATATATTCTATGAAAGATGAAAAAAGTTAAGGCAACTGTGGCTTTTATATTAAAAAATGCCCTTTACAATGTAATTTACTTTGTTGTTCTGTTTTAATTAGGAATGCAGATGTGAAAGTGGTCCCCATTCCAGATCACAAATTAATCGTCAGTGTGCCCTGTACTCTTCACTCACATAAGCCGCCTCTTGCTGGTATGTTTCTATAAGTAGAATTGTTATAACTTCTGTCAAATTGAAAAAAGGATTGAGTTTAGTATTTGAATGGTTTAGAGATTTAGAAATTAAATCAGATATGTTATTTTAACATTCTAAAATTTTATAGAATTTATTAATAGATTAGTTTTTTTGTATGTTCGTTTTTGATACAAAAAAGACTTATTGTTTCCATTTGGTCCATGGCTTAGGAGAGGGTTCTGTGGCTAAGAAGCTGCGTGGTGGCTGCAGGGCCCCAGCAGAAGCCCTGACCCCAGGGGGATGCAGAGGGAACCCTAAAGGCTACTGAGCTCTGGAGGCTCCCAGTTGTGCTTGAGGATGAACCTTTTGAAGAGACACTCACCCAGCCCCACTGGGGGCTGCAGGGCTGGGCTAGCCTGCAGAGGTTAGTCAGGTCCCATCTTTGTGATGAGTTTCACTTCCTCATCTAGGAAGTGGCTGTCCAGGAAGTCACAGAGAAGAGGGTCTGTGTGGGCAGAACCCAGGGCATGCAGATCTAGAAGGGCCTGGTTCAGGTTCTTCTCCAGGGCCATGCTGGCTTCCATGGTGTCCACCTATCTTGGGACAGCTTCTGCATGTCCTTGAAGAGGGCGCTGATGCTGTGCTGGTTTTCCATCTTTAAGACATGCTTGGCCAAGTACTATAAGAAGTGGCCCACACCTTCCACAGCCATATTGTCATGGTGGAAATAGAAGTCCAGAGTGAGGTATGTGTAGGAGGCCTGCAGATGCAGGTTGACCAGGAGGCTGATGGTGGCTTCTACCTCAGTGGAATAATTCTCATGAGTCTGGGAGCTCATGGTTGGTTGGCAATAAGAAGCTAACCATAAAAAATGGCGTTTGCTGATCCTGGAGGTTGCGACTGGGGCAGAAGGTTGGAGGGTGGTTGGGGGCTGGAAGAAGGTGAGTCCTTGGATCTGTTTCATCCAAACACTGTTGAAGCAAGAGAGATCCGCAGTCCACTGGATGCCCTGCCTAGATTAGTTTTATATTGCCTCAGCCTTTGCTCTTAAACCATTTTTTAGGTTCTCTTTGCTATTGATTTTTACCTCGTCACTGGCCTTGACAGAGTGAAGACTGATGGGGCCTCTGAGGGGGCTTTGTTTTGCTACTGGGACTCTATCCCTTGCTGGTTCTAAAACCAGGAGCTCAGAATAGCCTTCTGAGAGATGGTTAGAATTCCCTTAATATTTTGAAGATGTTCTCAGTTTTATGTTGAGGTAGTGTTGCTTTTCTGAACCATTGGAAAGGTAATTGCTGCAGTCTGCAATTCTTACTAGTCTTAATGCTTTAGTATAATGTTCATTGTTTAATGAAACTAAGCAGCAAGGAATAGTGAGTGGAAAGCTTGGACTTTGGAGATTGACTGACATGAGTTTGAATCCTGACTCTGCTACTTGAGTCACTCTAATCACTTTCCACCTGAAAGTGTTCATTTAAAGAGGAATAATGATATTTAATCTTTAAAGGTTGTGAGGATTTGTTATAATATATTTGAAATTCTGTAGCATATAGTAGAAGCTATATTAAAATTTTCAAATGAGAATTAAAAAAAATAGGAATGTAAGTCCTTCAGAGATATTGATATTTAAAGTTTACTGTTCAAATAATTTCTTCAGAAATATGTAATTTATTAATTTGGTGATCCCTGTTTTTTTTTTTTTTTAAAAACCAATTTCATGCTGTCACTCAGGAACACTATAGGCAGCCAGCCTATCATATTATTTTGCAGAATATGGGATAGTACATGAGCTAGGATACGTAGGAAAATTAATATAAATTCTCAAAAGAATTTTTACTGATAGCATTTAGGATTTCTGTTATCTAAAATTGCTTATGCAGAAGAAATATTAGAGGGTTACTTCATTTGAGAAATATTCAGATATCTACTTGATGATTCATTCTTTGACTTAGAAGGATTCTTAATGAATAATCGCCTTTAAACTTTGGTCTGTCATAGATTCTTTAATGCATTAAATATGTGACTTAAATGAAAAGTGAGATTGTACTGTTCTTTGAGAAAAAAAATTGTTTGGCACCAGTTATATTTGGTGGAAGAAATCTAATTTGTCTTCTTCTCATTCAAATTTTTTTATCAGTCAGTGAGTACTGAAGCTTAATTTAATGTTTGCTTTAGGGCTTTTATTTTATTTTTAAAAATCCAAAAGCTAAGACTTGAAATAAGAGACAAAGTTTTAAAATAGTTATAACAATTAGCCTTTTATTAATACTAATAAAAATTAGTATTACAGCTTATATCTATGAAATGCGGTTCTGCCATATTCCCAGTAGAGTGCAGCACAAACACATTTTTAGGATTGAGAACATTTAAAAACAAAA